TAGAAACAGATTTAGCAGCAAGACGTTTGGACCCTGAGACAACAGGTTATCAGAAGAACAAATACCTTAAATAGGCCAATTGAAAGACACAAGGATACGGGTGGAATGAAACGTCCACAGATCCATGATGTAAGCCAACTGTACGTGGACTTAAAGGCGGCCACGGAGTGGTCCCAACAGTGAGCCGCACACAGCTTTCTGACTGTCGAATGGTCAACATAAAGAAATATGTTTTCCAGCCACAGGGCAAAAAAGAGAGAGAGAGAGGAGAAATGAAGTCACAAAAGGGACAGCACAAATATTGTGTGTTTGGAAACCAAATAGACTATCACCATAAATTTTGGGCCACACAGATAATCGTAAGTGAAAATACAAAATGACTAAAATTAATGTTAATGAAAACAGCGCACATCGGGAGGACCGGGGCAGAGGGAAGCAGCCCTTACTGGGAGATGTGCGGCACCGAAAACATCTATCACGAATCATGAAGCCGCTGGAATGTCTCTGTAAATATTTTGCCTGTTTCTGGCTGACTTGCTTTTGTCATTAATTCTCGAGGGCTTTTATCAGTGATATGATTTGCAAACACGTCCTCCCCGTCTGTGGTTTATCGTCCCATTTTTTTCATTAGTGTCTTTTGAAGCACACATTTGGAAAAAAATGTGAAGTTCACCCTGTCAGTGTTTTATTTTTCTGGATCTGTGTTCGGTGTCACGGCTAAGAAACTGCACCTGGCCCACAGCTTCCGCCACTTTCTCCCGTGTTTTCTAGAAGCTGTAGTTTCAGTTTTTCATCGAGTCCTCTTTGTGTTGGTTTTCATGGTGGGCCATGAGGTAGGGCCCCAAACTTGTTCTTTCTCGTGTGGCTGTCCAGATGTCCCAGCACCGTTTGTGGAAAACACTCTCTGTCCCCCATCGAGTTCTGTTTATGCCTTTGTCAAAAATCAATTGACAATGTACGTACCGGGTTTTCCTGCTCTGGACTTCTGATCTGTTTCATTGATCTGTGTCCCTACTGAAGCCAGTATGAGGCTGCCTTGGGTATGGAATTTTGTTCTTTTAGAAAATTGTTTTGTCTGTACCAGGTCCGTTAAGTTACTTTTGTCATTCAGTTTTTGGTTTGGTTTTCTACTCTGGATGTTTGATCAGCTATATGATTTGCCAGTATGTTCTCCCAATCTGTGGCTTTTCCTTCATTTTCATTTGTAAATATTAGGATCAGTTTTTCAAAATGTGCACAGATGCCTGCCGGATTTCGACAGGGATTATATTGGATTTAGCAGTGGCCGTGGTTACGTGACTGCACCTCTGGCCATGAGCAGGGATGGGCTCCCGAGCTGTTTTCTTTCATTCCTCTCAGCAGGATTTGGGGGTTTTAGCATAACGCTGACACTTCTTCCATTACACATGTGCTTATGTATTTTATTCTATTATTAATTAAAATTTTCTTCATTTCATTTTCAGATTGTCTGTTGCTCGTGTGTAGAAATGCAGTGGATGTGTGTGTTGATACTGTACTCCACACCTCTGCTGGGCTGCTCGTGTGTAGAAATGCAGTGGATGTGTGTGTGTGCTGTACTGTACTCCACACCTCTGCTGGGCTGCTCGTGTGTAGAAATGCAGTGGATGTGTGTGTGTTGATACTGTACTCCACACCTCTGCTGGGCTGCTCGTGTGTAGAAATGCAGTGGATGTGTGTGTTGATACTGTACTCCACACCTCTGCTGGGCTGCTCGTGTGTAGAAATGCAGTGGATGTGTGTGTGTTGATACTGTACTCCACACCTCTGCTGGGCTGCTCGTGTGTAGAAATGCAGTGGATGTGTGTGTGTTGTACTGTACTCCACACTGGGCTGCTCGTGTGCAGAAATGCAGTGGATGTGTGTGTGCTGTACTGTACTCCACACCTCTGCTGGGCTGCTCGTGTGCAGAAATGCAGTGGATGTGTGTGCGTTGATACTGTACTCCACACCTCTGCTGGGCTGCTCGTGTGCAGAAATGCAGTGGATGTGTGTGTGTTGATACTGTACTCCACACCTCTGCTGGGCTGCTCTTGTGTAGAAATGCAGTGGGTGTGTGTGTGCTGTACTGTACTCCACACCTCTGCTGGGCTCCTCGTGTGTAGAAATGCAGTGGATGTGTGTGTGTGCTGTACTGTACTCCACACCTCTGCTGGGCTGCTCGTGTGTAGAAATGCAGTGGATGTGTGTGTGTGCTGTACTGTACTCCACACCTCTGCTGGGCTGCTCGTGTGTAGAAATGCAGTGGATGTGTGTGTGTTGATACTGTACTCCACACCTCTGCTGGACTGCTCGTGTGCAGAAATGCAGTGGATGTGTGTGTGTTGATACTGTACTCCACACCTCTGCTGGGCTGCTCGTGTGCAGAAATGCAGTGGATGTGTGTGCGTTGATACTGTACTCCACACCTCTGCTGGGCTGCTCGTGTGCAGAAATGCAGTGGATGTGTGTGTGTTGATACTGTACTCCACACCTCTGCTGGGCTGCTCTTGTGTAGAAATGCAGTGGGTGTGTGTGTGCTGTACTGTACTCCACACCTCTGCTGGGCTCCTCGTGTGTAGAAATGCAGTGGATGTGTGTGTGTGTTGTACTGTACTCCACACCTCTGCTGGGCTGCTCGTGTGTAGAAATGCAGTGGATGTGTGTGTGTGCTGTACTGTACTCCACACCTCTGCTGGGCTGCTCGTGTGTAGAAATGCAGTGGATGTGTGTGTGCTGTACTGTACTCCACACCTCTGCTGGGCTGCTCGTGTGTAGAAATGCAGTGGATGTGTGTGTGTTGATACTGTACTCCACACCTCTGCTGGGCTGCTCGTGTGTAGAAATGCAGTGGATGTGTGTGTGTTGATACTGTACTCCACACCTCTGCTGGGCTGCTCGTGTGCAGAAATGCAGTGGATGTGTGTGTGTTGATACTGTACTCCACAACTCTGCTGGGCTGCTCGTGTGCAGAAATGCAGTGGATGTGTGTGTGTTGATACTGTACTCCACACCTCTGCTGGGCTGCTCGTGTGTAGAAATGCAGTGGATGTGTGTGTGTTGATACTGTACTCCACACCTCTGCTGGGCTGCTCGTGTGTAGAAATGCAGTGGATGTGTGTGTGTTGATACTGTACTCCACACCTCTGCTGGACTGCTCGTGTGTAGAAATGCAGTGGATGTGTGTGTGTTGATACTGTACTCCACGCCTTCGCTGGGTTTTTTCATTAGTTCTTTCCAAAATTCTCAAATCTGTGATTTCTTTCTCTTTCACTAACTTTGGAAGAGTCTCAGCCATCATCCCTTTAGGTCATTTTTCTTCCATGCTTTCTGTTTTCCTCTGAGGACCGTAAGTGCACATTCACTAGAGTGTTGAAGTGTTTTAAAGGTCTCGCATGGTTGATTCACTTCTCTCTCTCCCCTTCCTCCTCTTTGTGTTCATTTGGGGTGATTTCTACTCTCCTGTCTCCCGGTTCACGGATTCTTTCCTTACTTCTGCCCGGTGTGTTAATAAGCCTATCGTAAGAATGTTGATATTGTGAGGGGTGGAGAGGCTGTTTCCACTTGACTCTTGTTGTTTCTGAGACAGGGCCATGCTCTGTCGCCCAGGCTGGAGTGCAGTGGTTCAATCACGGCTCTCTGCAGCCTCTAACTCGGGGCTGAAGAGATTCTCCTGCCTCAGCCTCCACAATAGCGGGAGCTATAGGTGTATGCCACCAACCCCAGCTAATGTTTTTACTTCTTTGTAGACACAGGGTCTCAGTATGTTTCCCAGGCAGCTCTGCAACTCCTGGTTTCAAGTGATCCTCCCACCTTGGCCTCCCAAAGTGCTGAGATTACAGGTGTGAGCCACTGTGCCCGGCCTTCATTTGACTTTTTAACAACAGTTTTTGAGCCACCACCAGGTGCAGTGGCTCAAGTTTTCTCTAAAATTCTCATCAAAATGTATAGGAAGGTGTAGTCATAAAATTTTGGGGGGATGTCTTTATAATTTTTTTTTAAATCTTAAAAGCAAAACACAAAGGAAGAAGAGTGAGTGGTGATTTCCCAGACAGCTATCAGAACAGACTGTAAAGCTACGGTGATTAAAACAGCACTGCCTTGCTCTTAGATTAGATAAATAGAAGGAGGAAGTGGATCCAGGGCCTGGCAGCCTCCTTGGCGTAACTCGGGATCCAGTGGACGGGGTGTCCCAGCCAGCGAGCAGAGGCAAGGCCTTCTGCAGAGGCAAGGCCTTCTGCAGAGGACATCACGATAGAACCACACCCCTGCAGAGGGCATCGTGATAGAGCCACACGCCTGCAGGTGATGTCGCGATAGAACCACGCCCCTGCAGAGGGCGTCGCGATAGAACCACACACCTGCAGGTGGTGTCGCGATAGAATCACACACCTGCAGCAAGGCAGTCCCGTCTCAGCTGGGACACAGAGCAAATCTAAGAGGAATCAAAATCCTAACGGAAAACAAAAGTACAAAATTCCTGGAAGGACACGTGGGGAATGCAGTTCTGATGCTTGGGGGCCTTGAAAACATGGCACGAGTGTCCGAGAGATTTCGCTATTTCAAAAGGAAACACTTCGTTATTGAAAAATCACAGTACAAATGACATAGCACAGATTCAGAGAACACGTTTCTTACAAATATGACAATAAAATCATTAATATCTCTAATGTCCAAATTGCTCATACAAAGTAATAGCAGCTCAGTAGAAAAATGGACTCAAGGCCTGAATATTAATTCACACAATTTTATGGAATGAGGAGCGAAGCTGTAGGGAAGAGTTTTCAGGGTCATCTACACAGTTCTTCTCAATAAATATATTAATGTCATAAAGTATGTTGATTGTGTTTCTATTTTAATTTACTTTTTCCTAAATTGATCTAGATAGATTTTTTAATCAAAATTACCAGGAATATAATTTGATATATATTTATCAAAATACCAAATATCAAAACTACTTTCTATTAGAGAAATTGATTCTAACATGTAAGAAAGGGGCAAAGGAACTAGAATAACTAAGTGAAAAAAGAAGCCTCTCAGTTTTATTCGTTTATTTATTTATTAGATGGAGTCTTGCTCTGTCACCAGGCTGGAGTGCAATGGCGCCACCTCAGCTCACTGCAACCTCCACCTCCCTGGTTCAAGCAATTCTCCTGCCTCAGCCTCCCAAGTAGTTGGGACTACAGGCGTGCACCACCACACCTGGCTAATTTTTGTATTTTTAGTAGAGACGGGTTTCACCATGTTGGCCAGGCTGGTCTCAAACTCCTGACCTCGGGATCTGCCTGCCTCAGCCTCCCAAAGTGCTGGGATTACAGGTGTGACCCCCGGTACCCCGCCTCGCAATTTTAAGAGTTACTCAAAAGCAAGAGTAATCAAGAGTGTCACTGTGGGGGTGGGTACAGCAGTTCATACCCGTAATCCAGCACTTTGGGAGCCTGAGGAGGGAAGATCTCTTGAGGCTAGAGTTCTAGACCAGCCTGGGCAACACAGGGAGATCGCATCTCTAAAATTTAAAGAATAAATAAATTAAAATTTTAAAAATAGAAAATGAAGAAAAAGAATATCACCCCAGGGAAGAGATGGAGCGCAGGTAAAGAGGCATGCAGGCCCCCAGGGTCACCATCACTTGACCTCCCACAAGGGACCAAGATCAGTCAATGCCGGAAGAGACAATTTTTCAACAAGCCATGCTGGAGCAGACTCATGGGTTCAAAAACGGGCCTGGACCTACACGTTACATGAAAATTAACTCCAACTGGGGCCGCACTTGAGCAGCGGCTCACGCCTGTAATCCCAGCACTTTGGGAGGCTGAGGCCGGTAGATCATTTGAGGTCAGGAGTTCAAAACCAGCCTGGCCAACAGGGTGAAACTCTGTTTCTACTAAAAATACAAAAATTAGCCAGGGAAGGTGATATGCACCTGTAATCTCAGCTACTTGGGAGGCTGAGGCAGGGGAATCACTTGAACCCAGGAGGCAGGGGTTGCGGTGAGCTACCGAGATGGTGCCACTGCAGAATGCAACCTGGGTGACAGAAAGACTCCATCTCAAAAAAAAAAAGAGAATTAACTCAAATTGGATTAAAAAAAAAAATAACTCTTTTGGAGTAGGAGAAAATGTCCAGGACCTGGGGCTTGGCACAGATTTCTTAGACACAGCATCAAAAGCATGATTCACATATTTTTTTAAATCAATGAATTGGAGCTTATTGAAATTAGAAAGTTTTATGCTGTGAAAGAGCCTGCTCTGATGGGTGGAAAGATAAGCCGTGGACAGGGAGAAAATAACCGCAAAGCACATGTCTGACCAAGGACTTGTATCTGGAATATAAGAACTCTCAAAAGTTGACGGAAAAGAGTCAGAGGGGCCAATGAAATGAGGCACGAAGCCGTGAACAGAAGAACCCTGGAGAGGACGTGGAGATGGCGGATGAGGGCAGGAAGCAGCCTTGATGTGCGTGGCCCCGGGGAGCACACGCTGGGACTGTGACCCACAGCTCTCCATACCTGTTAGAACAGCTGACGCAAAATGTACTGACAAGACCCGACGCTGGCAGAGATTCTGAGAAACGGTCCTGCCTTCACTGCGTGTGGGATGTCAAATGCGCATCCATCACGGAAAAGAGTTTGAGAGTTTCTTCAAAAAACAAAACGTCCTCGGGCCACTTGACCCGGCCGCGGTTCTCCCGGGCGTCTGTCCCGGAGAAAGAAACACTCACGTCCACACAAACACCTACACATCATTGTGGATAGAGGACCTGTTTGTCATAGTCAAAAACTGGGAAGGACTGAGACGTCCTTCGGTAGGTGAATCGCTGAACAAGATGTCCTGTCCTACCAAGGGTTCTGCTTATCAGTAAGAGGGACAAACTGCTGATACAGGAAATAGCTAAGGATGGTCTCGAGGGCAGGTTCCTTAGAGAAGAGCTCGTCTGAGAGGGCCCCACACATTCTATTTACATAGCACTTGCAAATGACAAATTTATAGCGGTGGGAAACGGGCCAGAGGATGTGAGGAGGAAGGAATGGGGACGTGGGGACCAAGTCTCTGGGATGCAGCAGTCCAGAGACGGCCATGCTGCTGGGACAGCTCTGTGTCCTGTTCCTGGCCGTGCGGACGCGGATTCCCACACCCTCTGACATGGCATAAACCCAGATGCACCCGCCGTAGCAAGGTCGGCTTCCTGGCTGAGACACGCACTCCGGCTAAGGGAGGTGAAGCCACTGGGAAAACGGGTGGAAGCGTTTGTGGGACTCTCTGTACAAGTTTTGAGACTTCCTGTGAGTCTGTAACGATTTCAAAAACAGAATCTTTAAAATAAATCACGAGGCTGATAAACAGAACATGCATTGTATGCTGCCTTTGTATAAGATAAAAAAGACGTGCGCATCCCGTGATTTCTGCAAACAGCCACCACAGGAAAAAGACAGAACTCACAGCCTCGGTGAGCGGAGGACAGAAAGTTTGAACTTCTGTTGTTACTTAAAGATTTTACATTTAAAAATTTATTCGATAAATGAATGTGTAGGAGTGGAGACCAGGCAAGAGCCCCCTGGCACCACAAATGGGCCCTGAGGTCCCGGGCTGCAGGAGCAGGGCGGGGAGCCCGGGTAGCCGGGGACAGACACGGGCACCCACTGCCTACGTCACCATCCTCGGTGCCGCCCACATGCGGGTGCCTCGCTGGGTCCCACCACCCCAAATCCCAGTGCCACAGCTGGGCCCACAGCTCTGCCGCCCCCCACCCCCCACCCCGTGTGGCACCCAGGCCCTGCTGGCACAAGGCCACGGCTAATCTGCTCTCAGAGGAAGCTGCGGAGGCAGCCCTGCCCTCCGTGTTTCCCAAGCCCCTTATCCCAGCAGATTCCTCCCGGGGAAGATAAGCTCCCAGCTTAGCCGGGGCGGTGGGAAGTCAGGGCCGCTTCCTTAATTGGCATTTTCCAGTTGAGAGAACATTCTCCACCTTTTTCACTTGGATCAGCTAATTGCCAAATGTTTTCATTTTTGAGAAGAAGTAAAATTGCAGAGATTTGGGATTTAGGGAAGGAATGCAAGGATCAATTTTGCCCAATTACGAAATGTCTCGGCGGTCACTGTGACGGGTCCCAGAGTCGGCCATGTGGACCCCGGGGCCTCCCGGGCGGTGGGGGCCGGGGGCTCAGATGCAGATGTTTACCTGATGTCGTGGGCCTGAATCTGGTTTACATTGGAAATCAGACTGTTTACAGGACCGCCCAGCTGCCTCTTCCTCTGGCTCTCCTTCACTTTGCTGTAATGTTCTGCAGGTCTCGCTGGGGTCTCTGTGGGAATATCTGTGACATGGAGGGAGCCAGGCCAACCCCAGACGGCCCCATCTGAGGACACCAGCTCACGGCCTGGCCCCCGGGTGGGCAGCCGGGCCCGGGGTGGCCGTGGAGATGGGGAGGGTCTGGGGCCCCTGGGATGGGGGTGGGAGCACACGGGCAGTCGGCTCTGCTGCAGGGCTCCAGCGGAGGACGGGGAGCCTTCTCCATCCCTGAAAGCCATGGAGGACACAGTGGACCCATCAGGACGTTGGGACCCTCTAGTGTGTTCTGGAAGCAGAGGCTGGGCATGGGCACGGGAAGCTGTGATCGTCCCCACACCGAGAGGCCCACAGGGCCCCAAGTAGCCAGGTGCCAGTGGCAAGGCAAGGCCCAGTCCTGTGCCAGGGAAGAAGGGGAGGCGTGGGGGCCGCAGACAGGGCGTCCAGGAGGGCAGAGCCACTGCAGGGACAGCTGCTCCTGGCACGTGGGCTTCACCCCAGCAACCCTCTGCATTGCCCCTCTGACAGCCGCCGCCTTCCACCCCCCAGAACCTTGAGCTGCTGTGTCGGCTCCGGAGGCTGCGGCCCCAGCCACGGGGGCTGTAGCTGCCATGGACTGAGACCCTGCTGCTCTCCGTGGAGACACTGACGTCCTTCCCAGACCTCCCGGGCCCACCCTCAGCCTCCAGGTGCTGACCAGGCTTCCCAGGCTGACAGAGCTCAGGGCGTCCTCCTCCAGGACACGGAACGGGCGTCCATGGCCACCAACTCCTCCCCGGGCCAGCCTCCCCTCGGCCCTGTCCCTTTGCTGCCATGGCCTCCTCCGTCCTCACTGCAGATGCAGAGAACGGTCCCATCCTCAGCTGCCTGGCCTTCTGGGTCCTTGGGAGGTTCTGACCTGGGGGCTGCGTCCTCTCTGGTCCGGGCCTTCCCGCCCTGGCCTCCCTCTGGGCTCAGGGAGCTGGGACCACACAGGCCTGAGAGCCTGGTCTGCCCAGGACAGGCCCCACTCCTCCTGCTCCCAGGAGCGCCCGCAGCCCTCCCAGGTTCCTCTGGTGTCTCCTGCAAGCAGCTTCGCCCAGTCCCAGCCTCCCCCTCCGCCCTCTGGAAGGGCAGCCACACTCCCTGCCCTTCCTCCCCCTCCGCTCAGCCCTGCAAAGCCTCCCACCAAGCCTGACACCTGGGGCTCTGTCACCCACTCTCCAGGAGCCTCCTCCACATGGAAGTGACCTCTGACCTCTGTTTCAAACCCATTGCTCCAGGGCTCACCCAGCATGGCGTCCAGACGGTGCCAGAGTGTTCCAGGCCTGGGCACCACACTCACTGCAGAGCTGGCCTGAGACTCAGCTGCCGGGAGCCCCATGAGATCTGCTTTCTGAATCTCATCGTCACCTGCCTGGGCATCCAGGCCACAGGCCCCGTGGTCATACAGGCACCGACCCCTGTCACAGCCCCCAAATCCCACCTGAGAGCGGCCCATCAAGCAGCCCCGTACATTAGATGCCTCTAAGTGTGAGCCGTGATGCCCTCTCATCCCGGCCCTCACGTCTTCTCCCTGGACACCTGCTGCTCCCTCTAGCTGTGCCCTCCACGGTGACTCCAGACACGCACATTCAGCCTCTTCCCTCCAGGACCGAACTCCCCAGCAGCTCCCATGGCCCCCAGGATGCCATCCAGCTCCTCAGCCCAGCAGCAAAGACACAGAATGGCTTCCCAGCCCATCGCTCCCCTCCGGAGAATGAGGCCTTCGCCCTCCGCACACCATCTGCTGTCCCCTCCCCAGCCCCCATGAGGAACCCCGACCAGAGACACCAACAGCCACCACCCTGTCCTGACTTTCACCCCGTCCCGAATCACAGGACGAAGGAGGTTGCCCCAAAAGAGTCACTTCCAGACTCACTTCCAGCTAGCCAAGGACACATGCCTGCCGTGGGCAGCACTGGAGGACTGGGGGCACGCTGTCAGTCAGCCTAGCAGGCTGGACTTGCTTCCTTCCCTCCCTCCTTCCTTCTTTCCCTCCTTCCTTCCTTCCGTCCTTCCTTCCTTCCCTCCCTCCCTCCCTCCCTCCTTCCCTCCTTCCCTCCCTCCCTCCCTCCTTCCCTCCTTCCCTCCCTCCCTCCCTCCTTCCCTCCTTCCTTCCTTCCCCCCTTCCCTCCTTCCCTCCTTCCTTCCCTCCCTCCCTCCCTCCCTCCCTCCCTCCCTCCCTCCCTCCCTCCCTCCCTCCTTCCTTCCTTCCTTCCTTCCTTCCTTCCTTCCTTCCTTCATTCCTTCCGTCCTCCCTCCTTCCCTCCGTTTCTCCTTCCCTCCTCCCTGGGGTAGAATATGGTGCCTGAGGTTTCCCGTCTGAGCCATGCTGAGGGCCCAGCTCGTGGCACTGAGAAGACTCACGTTGCTGTGCCGCTTCCCCCATCGTGCAGCTCCAGCACTGGATCATCAGGCAAACCTGGAGCTCTGTCCCGACTCATCACTCACTCCCATCTGCCCCGCTCACGGCCCTGCTGACACCATTCTGCCGCCTTTCTCTCCAATCTGACTCCTCTAGGGGCCTCCATCTGCGGCGTCGTCACGGCCTTTGTCCTGCGTGACCGTGGCTTCACCCGCATGTGCCTGTGAGGGCTGCTGGCGCTGGGGCACGCGTCAGAGCGGCACTCCCTGTGCAGGCTCGGGGAGACCCCGCTGTGTGTGTCTGCCCCGCTGCACGCCCCTCACTGCTGGGCCCTGTCCACCTCGGGCTATTGTGTCTGCCCTGCTGTGAGCATGGGGGTCTGAGTCCACTTCGCGTGTCCACAAGAGACCCCCTGAGACGGAGTGATTCGTAAAGCTCACGGCTCCGCAGGCTGAGAAGTTCAATGGCATGGCCCCGGCTTCTGCTGGAGGAGGTCAGAGGGGCAGCAGACGCGGGAAGGGGGGCAAAGCTCAGGGATGTCTTGGCTTTGGAACCAGCCCCACTCATGGGAACAAACCCATTCTCGTGGGAACTCATCCCTATCACAGGGGAGACTGACTCCCGGCACCAGGCACTCAGGAGGGAGTCACTCCCACGCCCACACGCCTCCCTCCCCCCAGGCCCCATCCACCAACACCACCACACTGGGGGGCACGTTTCAACAAGTTTTGGTGGGAACGGACCCACTACGTCCAGACCATAGCCACAGTGTGCCAGCATTTGAGTCCCTGCTCTGATTTCTTTTGGGGGTAGACCTAGGAGTGGAACAGTGGCATTTTGTGCTCACCTGTTTCTGGAAGGAGCACACTGAGCTGGTTACAGCAGGCTGTGTTTTCCTCTGTGCCTTCCAGAATGCAGATGAGATGGCAGGTGCCCCAGCAGCCCTCGTCAACCATAAGGCATGATTCCTCACCTTCGTCTCAGTGAGTGCAGACACTGAGGGCCGTGGACTCCCGGTGACATGGGGGACCTCCACCGTAGGCTCACAGACTCTGTGTGCGGCCCTTCCAGAAAGGGGACAGAAATGAAATGTCTGCCTTGTGGAAGGCGTTGGTGTTCAGGGTTTTCTGCTCTGTCTGTGCTCCCCAAAAACATCAGTAGACTTTTTAAAACAAAAATAACCCATGTTCATTGTGCAGAGATGAGCCATGGCCTGCAGGGGACCGGAGCCCCAGGGCCACCTGCTCTGCTTTTGTTTCTCACCGCCCTGTGTTCCCACGTGGGCAGCGACGCTGTCCCTTACAGCACATTCCTGGTGCAGCCAGGGCAGCTGACCCGCAGATTCCTCAGGACGAGGGACGCTTCGAGTCAAGGATTTTCATGGCATGAACCGCGTGGAGGCTGCGCCTTGTGCTTGCTCTGAGGAATCTTCCTCCCGCGCGGCTCTCAGCCTCCCCTCTGCCAGCGCCTCTGTGGCTAAGCTGCACCCGTGGGCCGCGGTTGCGAGGCACAGGCGCAGTTTATGGCTCTCGGGCACTTTGCTGGGCTGCTCCTGGACAGGCTGACCCCTCCCTCCCTCCAACCCGCACTGCCCGGCACTCGTCCAGCAAAGCCTGACCGTGCGGCGGTTTCTGCGGCACTGCCGCTGTGCCAGGGAAAGGGCCCCTATCTTCTATGTCCCTTGCGTGTCCTTTACTTGGACCGTTGACCACTGTTCACACCTGTGCTCCTCAGTGTATTTGGCCGCATTCTGTGAGGTTTAGCGCATCCTCAGTTGGAACGTGTTCTGCTGTTGCTGAGCCCCTGCTCTGTCATTACGCTTAACAGGTGTTTTCCCAGCTTGGATCTGTGTGGCCATTAATGTGTTTCCTGCTATATTAAAAGTTTGTTTTTCTTTCATTATGAAAGGACTCATGCTGAGTGTCTCCCCTGCTCCCTGTGCTTTGGGGTGTGAAGTCGCAGGGGAAGGCAGGTGTCCTTTCTTCTCTGAAGTGTGGGTGGGGGCAGGACAGCAGAGCCTGGGGTCCCTGCTGAGGAGGGAAAGGGTAGGATTCTGAATGTTCTCTTCCTGGCCTCATGAGCACCCCAGCTCCTTCTTGGAGGAGGAAAGCTCCTCACTGTCCTGGAGAGTGAGTTTTCCCATGGAGCCTGTCCTGCCCAGCTCACAGAGAGTGGCCTGGAAGCCCCTCAGCCAAGCAGCACATGCCAGGCCAGATGCCCACAACTGTTGGGAAAAGCGAGGCTGGCGCCTCCTCTTTAGGGGAAGGTTTTAAGAATGAAAATCAACATGCAGAATGGTGAGGTCACTTGGAGCCTGGATTCTATGGGGTGAGACACCCACAGCCAGGTGGGACTCCCCACCCTTCCCTGTCCCCTGCCAGCTGTTGCTGGCCACGCCAGGGAATAGGGGTGAACCTCAGACCCCCAGCCCGGTGCCCACCCCTGCCGCCTGCAGGCCTTCAAGGTCCCATAACCTCTTGGCAGGCAGGGCCGGCCTGGGGCCAGGTGTGGGCGAGGCTGGGGATTTCCTGGGGCAGCTGCCTTCAAGTTGCGGCCTGGCAGCCTTGGGTGGTGTCAGGAGAGGCGGGGAGCCAGGGGCCCAGCACCCTGCCCGTCCCGGCTGTGGGTGTCAATGCTGAATGGGTTCTGTGGCTTTGTCACCAGGCAGCCCAGTGGGTGCAGGCCACCCGGGGTGCCGGCCCTGCCCTGCCTGGTCCCCGGGGAGGGGAAGGGTCTCTGCTGACCGCACAGTTTGCCGCCTGTTTCTTGTTTGCCGAGGGCCGCAGTGTTTGCTGCCGGGTGAATAATTGCTGGCTGTGTGGAGTCACCTGGGCCGGCTGTGACGAGGTCCCCCCACCCCTGTGGAGGGACTCGGGGGCAAAGGATTGTGCTGGTCCTGATGGAGCAAGGCTCTCTGGGGGGAAACAGCAGCTTCCTCAGCTTCCAGGCGCAGCCGGAGGCCTGAGCAGTGAGGCGCGTTTGCTGCTGCTCATGAAGGGACAGTGATAAGCTGGCATGTCAGCTTCCAAGCAGGCTAGGGTCTCCCTCCTGACACGTCTTGGTGGTCCCCAAGCCCCTGAAGGCACCGTTCTGTCCTCATTTTCGCTCTGGGCCCTCGGCCACACGCGCAGCTCACCCAGTCCATCTCAATGCCCTTCCCCCTCTCTGCCGCTGCCCCCACCCTCCCGGCTGTCCCCCGTGTGGACTCTGCAGCTTCTCCTTGTCCACCAGCTGAGGCTCCCAGAAGCCTTCTCTCTTCTCCTCCTCGGCCTCCTCCTCTCCCTCCCTTCGCCCTCTCCTCACCTCCACTGTCCCACCATCTGCCACTTTCTTTACACAGTATCTGTGGACCAGAAATTCTAAACACGGCCCAAAGCCCCTCCCTGGGCCCCAACAGCATGGCCTCATCACGGGCCGTGTCCTGGACACCTCCTGGCGTGTCACAGGCATCTGATCTTGGGATTCCACCCAAGGCCTTTCCCCTGGTGAGAAGCAGAGCATCACATTAGGGACCGGCTTTCCTCAGCCGTGCCCCCCCAGTCCGTGATGGGCCCTCTTTCTTTCCCGCGGAGACGTGCCTCTCAGTCGGGGCTGACTTCCCCACCCCAGCGTTTGCCACCATGACTGTGGCCTGTACTCAGCTGTGTTTCTGCAGCCCGGCCGGTCACGTGCATTCTTTCCTGCCCGGGGC